ATATATTTTATAGATTTTCTCAGAAAATTTATATATAAAAAAAAATTGTTATAATGAATATAATGATTATGATCAAAGTTGGCTTTATAATAAAGCATGTTTGTATGAACAAATTTTTTTATTAATTAAGAAAATACACATTTTGTTATCATATGATATCATTAGAATTCAAGCATCTATCATCATTATAGAATTATTTACACATTAACAAGCATTATAATATGAGCAATAAAATTTCTCCAAAAATATAAAAGCATGGCGGAATATAAAAGATATTACTATCAACAAATTTAATAAATATTCGCATGTTCGATCTATTACAAAGATCAAAGATAATACCCTTAACAACAACAACAAAATGTTTTCCTTCAAATATGTTGTATTAAATTCTAAATTCAAATGAGATCTAAATAAATAACAGTCTGCAAATGAGCTCGAAGATCTATATAATCTGAACCCTAAATTATTCATAACATACATATAAATAAGTTTAGTTGATTAGGCTTTGTTTAGGATGGTTTTTTTATTGTTTTATAAAACATTTTTTATTGAAGTTTTTTTTTTTAAATACGAAAAAAGTTGTGGTCAAAAGCTGTCCCAAACAGCTTTTTAGTGTATGCTTCATTTGTGTCCTCTTTTTCACTACTTAAAACATTTTTTTAGTACAAAATTAAAATTTTTGTACTAAAAAATAGGAAGCAATGAAAAAGCCGTCCCAAAACAAAGACGTAATCTAATTCTCTTAAGATACCTTAGGTTAGAACAATTATTATGTCCTCTGACTGGACGTAGAGCTACGTTCGGCCGCCAATAACATGTCGCCATGTGCTCTTACTCTTTACCGCGGGGCCCGACGACTTGACCCGGACCGGAACCCGGGAATGCTATGTTCGCGTATTGCGAGGTATTACTGGGTATTTGCTCGGTGTTGCTAGGTATTACTGGGTATTGCTTGGCAATAACGAGAAATACCGCTCTGTGAAGACCAATACCGAGCAATACCTAGCAAAATCGAGAAATACCGAGCCATCCTGGGTCCGTTCCGGGTCGGGTTGTCGGGGGCGCGGTAAATAGTGAGAACGCGTGGCGCGATTCTACTGGCGACCGAACATAGAGCTACCTCCTGTGACCGGACCAAATAAAAGTTCCTTAGGTTAACCATTATCTTTATGGAATTGATTTTTAAAATAGTACTTAATTAATTAATTATTTCTTATCTGAGAAATTCTATATCTAAACCCTATAATACTATAATTTGTACAATTTTGACGAATTCAAAATACATAAAAGATGCACCAATAGAAATCTCAAAATGCTTGCATTTATGTTGTAATACACCGATATTACTTGGAATCTAACGACCCCTTAAAGTTTTCAGATGGTGAGTTTACCGGTCGGTTTGATGTTTTTAAATATATTCATTTTAGAAATGGAGAAATATAATTCATGCATTTTGAAATTACATTTGTTTGGTTGAATGCAAATTTAATGCATTCAAACTTTTTTTTTTCTTATGTTTGATAAATTTCAAATGCATTGAAATGCAAACAAAGGCTTGAGTGGATGATGAAAGACAAATATCATACAATAGTTGACAGATGATGGAGATGGTAGGCATGTGGCAACAGACTTATAGTGGTTACGGACATGCTCCAAGTGGTGGCAACGAGGAAGCAACAGACGACAATGAGTGAGAATTGTCGATGGTGGGCGACCGCAAGAGACGGTGGTAGAAGAAGCGTGATAGAGGAGAGTAGAGGTAGCATTAGTAGCAGCAATGGTGATTAGCGATGCAAAAGAGTCCAGTCGGCTCGGGCTCGACTTGTTGACGAGCACACAAGTCAAGCTTATCAAGTTCATGAGTCAAATCAAACAGAATTTTGAACTATTTATAAAATCGAGCTCGAGTTCGATCCAACCAAAGCTCGGCTCGATTGCTCATGAGCCGGCTCGGATGCTTGGTAGGAACCCAAAATATCAGACAGGATTTAGGGCCAGAACGTGAAATGTTGGGTGGGAACATGAGTTCGGATGCGGGACAGAGTTCGAACGCGGGTGGTTGTGCACGGAGGGAGTTCGGACTTTGGATGCCAAAGTCAGCGGGATAGAGGTCAGATGCGGTCACGACAGGACGATGGGTCTGCTGGAACGCGGACGCCTGGCAGGAACTTGAGTTCAAACTCGGGAGTCGGATGGATGGAGCTTGGATGCGGGCACGACGGGATAGCTGGAGCGAATGCGACGGAGCTTGAACGAGCTCGTTTCAATGGCACGAGCCAAGCTCGAGCTCGGCTTCTAAGCTTGACTTGAGTTCGAGCTCGAGATTTGTCTTGCGAGTCGAGCTTGAGTCAGGCCTGACTCGAGCTTGATTCGACTAGTAGTAATGGTCTAGTGATGGTCTTCACAGATACATTGTTGAATTTTGAAATCTAAGTGAATGTAGAAATATATAAGTTTTGATATATTTTAAATAACTCAAAAGTTTTCTGTCATTTTTTTTGTTGGTTCATAAAAAATTTTTAAGAAAAATTTATAGAAAATAAAATATAATATCCCTTTAATACAGTGAACCAAATATTCGTAGCCTCACGTATGCGTCAAGGGAAGCCGTCAAGTGCGAAAAGACTCAGAGTTTGGCTGCCCAATCAATTCAGCTTCGCTCTTATTTAAAAAGCTCTGCTGTCGATGTTTTTGATATTTTTATTAGTTTTCGTTGTTCATTTTCAAGTGCTTTTAAATTTAAAAAATCAATATATATATTTTTTAAAATTCAATCCAGTAAAAATATTTGAGTTTAAAATAATATCTGATGATTTTTTTTTTGTAACAGTTAGGGGATTCAAGCTTGAGGAATTTCTTCCGTTAATAATATTTGTTCAAAAATAATAATTTTTTTTAGCCGTAAGGCATCGGAACTCCAAGCAGTGAGAGCGTTGCATTTCTGCAACCTTCCGGCGAGCTCGAATGATAAAATTGAGATCTAAGTTAACAAGACTATTAAATTGATCGACACAATCAGATTTCTGATTTCACAAAGAACTACCAATAATTTTATTATTTCTGAAACATTTTTTCTCTACAATCACCTAAATGAACCCAAGAAACAAATCAACTAATGCAAAACAAGACAAATAACTGCATCTGCACATTACACAATCAATCAGGCACAAGCTCGAGCTTCAAAATTCGGAAAGACAACAAATGCAATGGAAAGAGGAGCAATAAATATGGGTGAACTAACTGAAACAAGCAAAGGATTTAGTGCTGGAATTTCTCTATTTTTGTTGAGCTGTAGAGGAATGCCATTTAAGAGCATTGTTCTGCTAAGATGGTTTCCATCCTTTGCAGTGAGATGGTATTCTTCCCTTTTATGAGAATCAAGAGAAGCTTCCTTTCCAATCCATGAGACTGTCTTTTTAAGACCATGGATGAAAGAACTGTCCTTTTGAATGCCATTTCCTTCTGCAAGATCAACATTTAGATCATTTCGAACCGTCACGGTGAACGCCGCGGATTTGCTGAGGTTGATCAAGAGCATGGTGACACCTGACTGCAAATGCACATGAAAGAAATATCAGAACACTGGGTTTGTGATTTTGGTTCCAAATTTGAAGATTGCAAAAAAAAAAAAGGGTTGATTTTTAACTAGTTTGAGCTTGCATTGAAATCAACAAGTCGACTGGATTCAGAACGTCGTCCGGAGACCAACTAGAATGAGCCACATCAGCAATACTGAGCCACGGTACCGAGCAAGGGGTGATGTGGTGCATTCTGATTGATTACCGGATGATGTTCGATGTTCGCACATAATAATTAATCCAGAGTTTGAGCTAGATCAAATGGTTTAAATTGCGATCAATTCTTCCATGCACCTAAATATATGTGTAGCCATGCAATGTAATACAATATTTTTTAAGAAATTAAGAAGTCATGAAATCAAACAGATCTTTACTGGTACTAACTAAGCTTCAATTGAAGTAAATGAGCCAATTCTTGCTATATATGGCCCAAGCCTAACTAAGGTCAAGAGAATCAAACGACTTTGAACTAATGATAAGCTAAAATCAGAACAAGTAGAGATTAATTAGATCATTTGCAGCCTTAGGGCATCTCCAACCGAAAAACTCATTTTTCACTCCAAAATACATTGAAACTAAAAAATGGTATGATTCATCTCCAATTGAACTTTATTTTGTGCCCTTCACAGAAAGTAACCGTCTTTCTCCATTAGTTAGGCCTATCCATCCATTTCCTTTGTAATTTTACGCGTTTCTTCGGCAAATCCGGTAGAGATAGAAAAGTAACGTAGGTGAACAGTGCAACGTCGTACTGTTCACCCGTAACCAAATACTGGAAGTTTTGCCGTTAGGCTGGAGCTCACGATCGACACCATTCATGCATTTGGAGTTCGGTTGGAGAAGGCCTTATCAGACTATCAACTTTTTTCCAACAATAAACATTATGACTGTTTAAACGGAGATATTTGTTACAAAAAGAAAACTAATGAAGCATCTCTTTATAAACTCAACTTTATTATGAGTGTGTATATAAAGGAAAGAAGTTAAGTTCTTACTTTCTGTTTTCTGCAGTGAGCATAGGCTCTTAAAAATGGAGATCCACTAATATCAACACTGAGAACTCCTTTCCCCATCAGCCGATGCCAAAGCAAAGCACTATTCAACAGTTCAAAAGTACAAACTTTAGAATCTCTCTAAATCAGAAATCATCTTTAGTAAAATTAGCAGTTTACAAGTCCTTGCCTGTAATAATCAGGATTTGGTATAAATGTTTGAGTGTCCAGAAGACCATAATTACCACCAATCAATGTTTGTCTACAGTAAACCTTTGTATTGTACTTTGATGCCATTCCTAGTTGATCCAAATACCTGATTGATTATCAATTGTATATTAAATTCATCATTGTATCAAGTGTTGAGTTACAGGAGTAAAAGATTGAGTGAATAAGAATTTTTTGGAAATAATGGATTACCAAAAGCTATTCAGAAAGGTGTTGGAGACTAAATGGCTGCCGCTGTTGTAAGCGCCACCTGCTTCACCAACCCAAGCAGATGACCAAGGTCCATGTCTCTGAATGGTGAGTTGAACGTTTCTGAATGTATCAGCAAACCAACTTAAGTATTTTGGATCTGTAATTTTGCTTACGATGCGAGGATCATTTCCTGAAAAGAGATGCTTTTAAGGTCAGCCATGCCTACAAGCTCTTCAGATATGGTTTCATCAACTGTAAACTTATAAAGGAAATGGATGGACTAAGACTTTGTTTGGGACGGCTTTCTTATTGCTTCTTAAATCAGCTTTTTAATACAAAATCTTTCATTTTTGTACTAAAAAACTACTTTAAGAATCAGTAAAAAAGCCGTCCCAAACGAAGCCTAATGCATATGCTCCAACTTTAGGTACTTGAACCTCGTTGCATGTTATAGCAAGCAATTTAACGCATTTTCTTATAGGAACTTTTCTCGAACCAATCGTCGCAGCTCATGATTATCTTTGTATTTTATTCTCTTTTTTGTGTTTCTATAAGGTAGATCATTCTCAATCCAGATTTATGCTATTGTTTCAAGTATATTGACAAACTTTTAACAGCAAAACATTTTATATGCATTCCACCAAAATGCTTTTTCTTGTACAAAAAATTGCTGAGAACTTACAGCCACAATGTCAATGCCACAAGAATTGATATTATTCATAATTTGTAATGAACAACTAGAAATAAAGTTTAAAAAGATAAGAGATTTGTTATATTTAGGACATGAGTAATGAACTCACCTGGGCCTAGATTGTATACATGATGGCTCATGGCATTTAGAACAGATGGTCCTGAAACCTCAAGAAGCTTAGCATACCATTGCTGATTATCAAAGAACCCACCAGGTGCTACCAACAGCGGTTTTGAACGTGATTTTCCGTAAAGCTCATCAAGAATGGCTTTAAGGCTAATTAAATCTTTACCATATTGTTCTGCATCAACTCTTGCAAGTACTCCACGTCCACTTAATTCATTTCCTGATCCATGGAGGAAGTTGAAGAAGCATGAAAGGAAAATATAGAGATGAAGATTTATAATCATCAACAAATTTCAACTATCAGTTGTGATTCAAAGTTATTACCAAACTCCCAAGAATCAACAGGATATCCCTTTGAAATAGTGTACTCCATAAAATCACGAGCATTGCTGGAGTTCCAGGCACCTTGCCAGAATCCCTTCTGCACTTGATGCCTCCCATAAAGAGCATTCAGACCAAATGTTACGATTGCCCTGCAACAATAGAGGCTATTTTAGATTCTGCATTAAAAAGAAAACAAAAGTAGAAATGGAGGAGGAAAAACAAAAAAATGATAAAGAACATACCCTGTTTTTTGGAACAAAAGGTTCAGCGCATCCCACCTTGCGATGCTCAAACATCCTTTTGAGAAGCCAAAAAGCCCACCAGACATTTTGGTAAACGGATCACAAGAAAATTTCAAACTTCCTATTCCATATTTGATCTGGTCTTGCAGAGAACCTCCAACTCGTATACGTAATGGTCTAAAGGCTGACAATCATCAGAAAAAGCAGAAGATATTTTCTGTGAGATTCGAAGTATTGAAAGAGAACAAACTAGCTAACACAGAAAGCTATTTCCTTTGTGTCAAGGGACCAGAAAGCAAAGGAACAACCGAACAAAGTATCTAACATCCTTGTCTTCATGAAATAAACCAGGTAAATGAGACAAGGAAAAAGGAATATCATCTTTCTCGGTTAAACTAGCTATATTATGCTATCAATAGGATGGTACTGATCATAATTACTCTGGAAATAGGAATGAAGAATGCAAGTATGAAAGCACTGAACTTTACTGCATACCTTCAATGGCCCTGACAAGATAAGGATGATTCAGGTCCTACAAAGCAGATAAATTAAATTTATTTCATCAATTAATAAAGCTTCCAACCATAAATGTAAGCGACAAACATGGCATATAAGACTTCAAAAAACCAAGAAAATCTTACCAAATTAAAAATAGAAGACTTTCCCCATGGGCATTGCTTATAATTACACTTCTCAGGTGGCCACCAGTCAAGAGTAGCACACACGAAATTATCATCAGTTTCAGCTTCTGTAACAGAACCCTTTACAATAATTGTTACATCATTGTTCTCTTGAGACAAAATTACAGGAAGAGAGCACAGGAACAGAAGAAAGGCTAGCTTAAGCCCCATGCCTTGAGCACTGATGCTGAAGAAAGCTGAAAAATAGTTCATAACAAAAATGACAGTTAGTTCTCATTTCATAAAAAACAAAGTGAGTGAAGATCCGACGGTTCTTCTTATGCTTGCAAAGAAAGCAAGAACATGTTTTCAAGCCAATAGAAAGAAATTCAAAGGAAACAATAAGCTGGAACAATGGAGAAAATTGATATCTTTCTTGCTTCAGAGTTCAGAGTTTCAGACCATCAAAGAAACAAAACCAACAACTGAGGTTATGCCACAAGCGAACACATAGAAGAAATTAACAAAATGCGAGCTTTTTCAAGTATTTTAAGCAACTCAAATCTTACAAAAAAACGAATGAGACCAGTTTCAATAACGAAAACCCATTTCTGAAATCACCTTTGTGAAAGAGCAGCTTCCCAGTAAAAATGGCGTTTTTTTGAGAGAGAAGCGGACATATTGGCCTCTGAAGTCCGAGGCTTTATATCATTCCGGCAGCCATCTAAGACCGGTTAGAGTCGTCGTCCGTAGACTATTCTTCGGTTGACCTTTTGGTCATATAATCTTCTCCAATCGCTCTAATTTCTCTTCTCACGCTGCCTTCAGCCGCCCCAACTCGGCTTAATAATTAGGAGAGAGAAATTTGATGAGGTTACTGACCAATAAGCTTTTAAATATTAAAATGTTATTTTATATTATATTTATTTAATTAAATTTAAAGATTTTAGTATGGCTCAACTTTTTTCTTAATAATTAATTTAAATTTGATTTTCTTAAAGCTCATTTATTTATGAAGCTAAATATGCATAAATCATATCATATTTACTTGATAATAAGTAAATAAGTATGAAAAAAAAAAATAAATCAATTTATTTTCGTAAAAATTTAATAAAATAGATCTCAAAATTATTAAATTTATTTTTAAATG